CGGCGGGGTTGGACCCGGTTCGGGCGGGGATGGAGGTGCCGGTACCGGCGGGGTTGGACCCGGTTCGGGCGGGGATGGAGGTGCCGGTACCGGCGAGGTTGGAGGCTCCAGGATGGAGCCCCCGGTAGCGGCGGGAGGGACTCGGTGGGGATGGAAACACCCGGTACCGGCTGGGAGGAGGACCCGGTACCGGCTGGGATGGGGACCCGGTACCGGCTGGGATGGGGACCCGGTACCGGCTGGGATGGGGACCCGGTACCAGTGGGGATGGGGATCCGGTACCGGCTGGGATGGGGATCCAGTACTGGGATGGGGACCCGGTACCGCTGGGGAGGAGGACCCGGTACCGCTGGGGAGGAGGACCCGGTACCGGCTGGGATGGGGACCCGGTACCGGCTGGGATGGGTATCTGGTACCGGGATGGGGATCTGGTACTGCCAAGATGGGGATCCGGTACCGGGATGGGGATCCGGTACCGGCGGGGTCCCAGTCCCAATTCTGGTCCTAATCCCGGTCCCGGTCCTGGTCCCAGTCCCGGTTCAGATCCCAGTTTTGATCCCGGCCCAGTCCCGGTTCTGATCCCAATCCCTGTCCCAGTCCCAGTCCCGGTTCTGATCCCGGTTCTGGTCCCGGTTCTGATCCCAATCCCTGTCCCAGTCCCGGTTCTGGTCCCGGTTCTGATCCCAATCCCTGTCCCAGTCCCGGTTCGGATCCCGGTTCTGATCCCAATCCCTATCCCAGTCCCAGTCCCGGTTCTGATCCCGGTTCTGGTCCCGGTTCTGATCCCAATCCCTGTCCCAGTCCCAGTTCCGGTTCTGATCCCGGCCCAGTCCCGGTTCTGATCCCAATCCCTATCCCAGTCCTGGTTCAGATCCCGGTTCTGATCCTGGCCCAGTCCCGGTTCTGATCCCAATCTCTGTCCCAGTCCCGGTTCGGATCCCGGTTCTGATCCCGGTTCTGATCCCAATCCCTATCCCAGTCCCAGTTCGGATCCCTGTCCCAGTCCCGGTTCAGATCCCGGCCCAGTCCCGGTTCTGATCCCAATCCCTGTCCTGGTCCCGGTTCTGATCCCGGCCCAGTCCCGGTTCTGATCCCAATCCCTGTCCTGGTCCCAGTCCCAGTTTTGATCCCGGCCCAGTCCCGGTTCTGATCCCAATCCCTGTCCTGGTCCCGGTTCTGATCCCGGCCCAGTCCCGGTTCTGATCCCAATCCCTGTCCCAGTCCCGGTTCTGATCCCGATCCCAGTCCCAATCTCGGTCCCGATCCCAGTCCCAATCCTGATTCCAGTCTTGGTCACCATCCTGGTTCTGGCCCAGTCCCGGTTCTGATCCAGTCCCAATCCCAGTCCCTGTCCAGGTTCCAATCCCAGTCCCAATCCCGGTTCCAATCCCAGTCCCAATCCCAGTTCTAATCCCAGTCCCAGTTCTAATGCCGGTTCTGATTCCGTTCCCAGTCCCGATTCTGATCCCAATCCCAATCCCAATCCCAATCCCAATCCCAGTCCCTGTCCAGGTTCCAATCCCAGTCCCAGTTCTGATCCTGGTTCCAATCTTAATCCCCATCCCAGTTCTGGCCCCAGTCCCGGTTCTGATCCCAGTCCCAATCCCAGTCCTGGTTCTGATCCCGATCCCAGTCCCAGTCCCGGTCCCAATCCCAGTTCTGATTCCAATCCCGGTTCTGATCCCAATCCCGTTCTGATCCCAGTCCCGGTTCTGATCCCGGTCCCAATCCCAGTCCTGGTTCTGATCCCGATCCCAGTCCCAATCCCAGTTCTGATCCCAGTCCCGGTTCTGATCCCAGTCCCAATCCCAGTCCCGATCCCAGTCCCAATCCTGATTCCAGTCTTGGTCCCCATCCTGGTTCTGGCCCCAGTCCCGGTTCTGATCCAGTCCCAATCCTGATACCCAATCCTGGTCCCAATCCCATCCCAATCCCGGTTCTGATCCCAGTCCCGGTTCTGATCCCGGTCCCAGTCCCAGTCTTGGTTCCAATCCCGGTTCTTATCCCAGTCCCGGTTCTGATCCCGGTTCCAATCCCGGTTCTTATCCCAGTCCCGGTCCATGTCCCAATCCCAGTCCCGTTCTCAGTTTTGATCCTGGTCCCAAACCTGGTCCCATTCCCAGTCCCAATCCCAGTCCCGATCCCAGTCCCAATCCTGATTCCAGTCTTGGTCCCCATCCTGGTTCTGATCCCAATCCTGGTTCTGATCCAGTCCCAATCCATGTCCCAGTCCCAGTCCCAATCCCGGTTCCAATCCCAGTCCCTGTCCCGGTTCAAATCCCAATCCCAATCCCAATTCCAGTCCTAATGCCGTTTCTGATTCCATTCCCAATCTCGATTTTGATCCCAATCCCAGTCCCTGTCCAGGTTCCAATCCCAGTCCCAATCCTGGTTCCAATCCCAGTCCCAATCCCAGTTATAATCCCAGTCCCAGTCCTAATGCCAGTTCTGATTCCGTTCCCAGTCCCGATTCTGATCCCAATCCCAATCCCAATCCCAGTCCCAATCCTGGTTCCAATCCCAGTCCCAGTTCTGATCCTGGTTCCAATCTTAATCCCCATCCCAGTTCTGGCCCCGGTCCCGTTCTGATCCCGGTCCCGGTCCCAGTCCTGGTTCCAATCCCAATCCCGGTCCCAATCCCGTTCTGATCCCAGTCCCGGTTCTGATCCCAGTCCCAATCCCAGTCCTGGTTCTGATCCCGATCCCAGTCCCAATCCCGGTCCCAATCCCAGTTCTGATTCCAATCATGGTTCTGATCCCAGTCCCAATCCCAGTCCCAATCCCAGTCCCAATCCTGATTCCAGTCTTGGTCCCCATCCTGGTTCTGGCCCCAGTCCTGGTTCTGATCCCAGTCCCAATCCCAGTTCTGATCCCGGTTCTGATCCCAGTCCCGGTTCTGATCCGGTCCCAGTCCCAGTTTTGATCCTGGTCCCAATCCCGGTTCTGATCCCGGTCCCAATCCCGGTCCCGGTCCTGCTCCAGGTTCCAATCCCGGAGATTTTGGGATGTCCGGGGAGATTTTGGGGAGGATTTTGGGGAGGATTTTTTGGCAGAGTTCGCGGATTTTGGGGAGGATTTTGGGGAGGATTTTTTGGCGGAGTTCGCGGATTTTGGGGCAGATTTTGGGGAGGATTTTGGGGTGGATTTTGGGGAGGATTTTGGGTGGATTTTGGGGTGGATTTTGGGGTGGATTTTGTGGCGGAGTTCGCTGATTTCGGGGTGGATTTTGTGGAGGATTTTGGGGCAGATCTTGGGCAGGATTTTGGGGTGGATTTTGGGACGGATTTTGGGGAGGATTTGGGGAGGATTTCGGGGTGGATTTGGGGTGGATTTTGGGGTGGATTTTGGGAGGCATTTTGTGGTGGAGTTCACGGATTTTGGGGAGAATTTTGTGGAGGATTTTGGGGCTGATTTTGGGGCTGATTTTTTGGCGGAGTTCGCGGATTTTGGGGAGGATTTTGGGGCGGATTTTGGGGAGGATTTTGGGGCAGATTTTGGGGTGGATTTTAGGAGGCATTTTGTGGCAGAGTTAACGGATTTTGGGGAGGATTTTGGGGCGGATTTGGGGTGGATTTTGGGGCAGATTTTGGGGAGATTTTGGGGAGATTTTGGGGCAGATTTTGGGGAGATTTTGGGGCAGATTTTGGGGCCCATTTTGGGAAGATTTTGGGTGGATTTTGGGGTTCAGGCGGTGCCCCCGTAGCCGGGGGGAGGGGCTGTGCCTGGGACACCCCGGGACACCGGGACCCGGCTGGGCGGGGGTCGCGGATTTTGGGGAGATTTTGGGCAGGATTTTGGGGCAGATTTTGGGGAGATTTTGGGGCCCATTTTGGGAAGATTTTGGGTGGATTTGGGGGTTTAGGCGCTGTCCCTGCAGCCTGGGGGAGCGGCTGTGCCTGGGACACCCCGGGGACACCGGGGCCGGGCTGGGCGGGGGTCCCGGAGCTCGGGGCCGGGCTGGGCGGGGGTCGCGGGTTTTGGGGTGTATTTTGGGAAGATTTTGGGTGGATTTGGGGGTTCAGGCGGTGCCCCCGCAGCCTGGGGGAGCGGCTGTGCCTGGGACACCCCGGGACACACCGGGGGCATCCCAGGACACACTGGGGACACCGGGACCGGGCTGGGCGGGGGTCGCGGGTTTTGGGGAGATTTTGGGCAGGATTTTGGGGCAGATTTTGGGGAGATTTTGGGGCAGATTTTGGGGAGATTTTGGGGCCCATTTTGGGAAGATTTTGGGTGGATTTGGGGGTTCAGGCGGTGCCCCCGCAGCCTGAGTGCGGAGTTGTACCTGGGACACCCCGGGACACCCCGGGGACGCTCGGGGACACCGGGACCCGGCTGGGCGGGGGTCTCGGGTTTTGGGGAGGATTTTGGGGCAGATTTTGGGGAGATTTTGGGGAGATTTTGGGAAGATTTTGGGTGGATCTGGGGGTTCAGGCGGTGCCCCCGCAGCCTGAGTGCGGAGTTGTACCTGGGACACCCCGGGACACACCGGAACACACCGGGGACGCTTGGGGACACCGGGACCTGGCTGGGCGGGGGTCGCGGGTTTTGGGGAGATTTTGGGGAGATTTTGGGGCAGATTTTGGGGAGATTTTGGGGCAGAGTTTGGGGAGATTTTGGGGCCAATTTTGGGAAGATTTTGGGTGGATTTGGGGGTTCAGGCGTTGTCCCCGCAGCCTGAGTGCGGAGTTGTACCTGGGACACCCCGGGACACCCCGGGGACGCTCGGGGACACCGGGACCCGGCTGGGCGGGGGTCCCGGAGCTCGGGGCCGGGCTGGGTGGGGGTCGCGGGTTTCGGGGTGTATTTTGGGAAGATTTTGGGTGGATCTGGGGGTTCAGGCGGTGCCCCCACAGCCTGAGTGCGGAGTTGTACCTGGGACACCCCGGGACACCCCGGGGACGCCCGGGGACACCGGGGCCGGGCTGGGCGGGGGTCGCGGAGCTCGGGGCCGGGCTGGGCGGGGGTCGCGGGTTTCGGGGTGTATTTCGGGAAGATGTCGGGGTTCAGGCGGGTGCCCCCGCAGCCTGGGGGAGGAGTTCTACCGCGAGGCGCTGGAGCACTGCCGCAGCTACAACGCCCGGCTCTGCGCCGAGCGCAGCCTCCGCCTGCCCTTCCTGGACGCGCAGACCGGCGTGGCCCAGAGCAACTCCTACATCTGGATGGAGAGAGCGCACCGCCGGCCCGGTGAGACCCCCGGGACCCCCGGGACCGCCCCCGGGACCCCCGGGACAGGGAGAGACCCCCGGGGTTGGGGAGTGACCCACGGGACCCCCGGGATGGGGAGGGACCAGAGCAACTCCTACATCTGGATGGAGAGAGCGCACCGCCGGCCCGGTGAGACCCCCGGGACCCCCGGGACCTCTGAGGCCACCCCCGGGACCCCCGGGACCCCTGAGACCGACCCCGGGACCCCTGAGACCACCCCCGGGACCCCCGGGACCCCTGAGACCACCCCCGGGACCCCTGAGACCACCCCTGGGACCCCCAGGACCCTTGGAATGGGGAGAGACCCCCGGGACCCCCCCCAGGGCAGGGAGAGACCCCCGGGACACAGACAGAGCACAGCGCCGGCCCGATGAGACCCCCGGGACCCCCAAAATGGGGAGAGACCCCCGAGACCAACCCCGGGACCCCCAAAATGGGGAGAGACCCCCGAGACCCCCCAGGACACACAAAAAGGGGCGAGAGACCCCTGGGAATGGGGGAAAAACCCCCCCGGTTTGGGGGGTCAGGGTCAGTTTGGGGGGTCGGGGTTAGTTTGGGGGCTCAGGGTCAGTTTGGGGTCAGGGTCAGTTTGGGGGGTCGGGGTCA